ATAAATATTTTTTGCTCGTTAAGTATTTGAAGAATATGTAGTTAAAAAGTAAGAAAAATTATGAAATAATTTGATTGAAAATGAGTTTAAAAAATTACATTATCTCAGTTCCTTTTAAAAATTCTTTTAATTAGACAAATCATATTTAGAAAAGCTATCCAAACGTGTTTAGTAACAACTTCTTAGTTTGAGAAACGGCTTTTAATTTTTCAAAAATCGTATCAAAATGGGTCTTTAATAATGTTAATTACGTATTAGACTTATCCAAAAAGCACTTGGTCGCTTTCAAATGACTAAGGTCACTAGATTAGAGACATATAATTAATGTTAAGCTCCATTCTAGGAATATTTCAGTATGAATCTACCCGATTCTGCATGTTAGAACTTATCCATCGTGCTACTGTCCTTCACGTTTGGCCTATCACAGTGCGAAATATTTCATATAAAAACAATTAATTATGCATGGGATGAAAATACACATGTATACCATAATTTAAAGTTCAAATATAAGCAGTATAAAGAAGTCTTTATTGATAATAATAGTTTTAGTTCTCGTCAAATCAACCAAAAGGTTAATGGGGGTAAAATAATTACCTTTGCTTATGTATAATCTTAATTCAAAAACAAAGGTTGATTCGATCATGTCTTTTTTATTTTGTTTTTTATTCATGGTTTGTGTCACCTATAATGCTCATCAGCAGATCAGATCTGGTTCGACTTTTGATATCATAATCAAGATGTCCAATTGTTAGTTCTAGCTACCCACAGACGGTACAGACGGTGGAGAGGATGGGCCTATAGAAGTAGGGCCAGTGGGGATGATGACTGGAACTTCAAGGTAGCTTTTCCGTTTGCCTCGGTCTTCCTTAGATTGGATTCCGTTCAGTCAGGCTAGTCGAGATAACTATCGATATCAATAGGTCTATATATTACGATGGATCTCGGCCATGCAATATAGTAAGGGTTTCAAGAGGAATGAACCTTTGTTTTTGTGCATCTTCGATTAGAGAAGATCGAAGAGGCGAGTGGTTCGATTTCAAAACCTGTCGATGGCTTGTTAAGGAATTTGAGGACATCAAGTCAAATGAGTTACCAAAGAAATTGCCACCAATGAGGGCAATTGATGGTGAGATTGAACTTGTTCCGGGTGCCAAACCTCCCCCTAGAGCACCATACCGTATGTCTCAGCCAAAACTTGAAGAGTTTCGGAAACAATTGGAAGAAATGTTTGGAAGTGGGACTATCGTAGATCGCACTTCTGCACTACTACAATGTGCAAATTACTGGCTTCAAATGTGGGATGACAATGCAAGTTATGTGAAAACTTGTCTTGGTTGCCAGCAAGATAAGACGGATCATCAGAAATAGACAGGCTTAATGGAGTCCCTTTCCGTCCCAAATAGGCCATTTGAAAGCGTGTCGGTGGACTACATTGGTGGATTGCCAAAAGTTGGAGATTTTGGCACTATTATCGTCATGATAGACGACTTATCTAAAGAGACAACTTTCACCACAGCGCCCAAGTATGTATCAGCTGAAGAGGCAGCTCAACTCTTCTTCAAACATATTGTTAAATACTGGGGATTGCTTAAGAATATCGTCAGTGATCGGGATTCTCAATGTACTGGTGTACTTTGGACCAAGTTGTTCAAACCTCTTGGTTCAACTTTGAGCAAGAGTTCTAGTTTTCGCCCACAATCTGATGGACAGATGGAGCGCTTCAATTCTATGCGGGAAAACTATCTTCAGCACTTTATCTATGCTTCGCAGAAAATTTGGGTAAAACTCTTGGATGCGGCTCGGATATAGTTCAATACTCAAAAGAGCTATTCTCCCATTAAGAGTTCTTCTGAGATTACTACTGGCCAGTAACTGTTACTCCCTCACACTACGGAGATTCTTGGCCATCGAACTACTCGAGCTTCTAGGAACTATCTTCAAGAGTACTTGGACAAATGGAGCGGATGCAACAGTGAGGAGAATAACTGGACAAATAGAAAAGACCTTGAAGCCTTAAAACTATTATGCATATCATTCATTAAGGGCTCTAAGGACGTCGCCAAAGCAAATGGGGGAGAATATCACGGACCACAGCTTTACTTAAGCCCTGTGATCCTATTGCAGCCGTAGTTTGCTCAACTTCGACCACACATTATAAATATTTTATTTCAATTGTAAAATAGTTGGAAATTAAAAAATTTTAGTATGATTGTAGAGACTTTAAACGTCTACTCCCGTGAGTTGGATTTTTGTTGCTAAGTCTATTATAAGGCCCCGTATTAGTCTTTCAAACATCTTTCAAGCTTCCTAGTATTTGCCCATGCACTAACCATTGTAACTTTCTGCTTTCAATCAATTGTAATTTCAAATTTTCTAGCAATCAATGATCAAATTATGTTCCCTGCATTTCTATTTTATGTTGCAAACTTTCTTTAAATTGTGACTGAGAGATCAAATTGTGATCAAATTTACTTTCGTCCCAAAACGATTGAGAGAATGCGGAAGGTAGTCTAGCGGAGCAACTACTGCCGCGCGGTGTCCCTTTCTGTGTTAAGAAGAAAGGTAACCCGTGAAATTCAGGGTAGATCCAAATTTAGATTTATTGCTTAAAATATAAGATGTGAGCAACAAATTACATTTTAAAATTTAAGTATTAAAGGTAGACCAGATCCAATGGTTCCATGGAGAAATTGAGGCCAAACTTTATCAGAGCGATTGGTTATGGTTCAGTTTGATTATATCTTTTCCTATAGAATCAATAGTTCTAATTTCAAATTTTCAATTCAATCGATTCGATCCAAATCTCAAGGTTCCCAGACCCTAGTGTAGGCTAAGCTTTTAAGAGACTGGCTCAATCCATAATGCCTCCAGTTGATTCTCATCCATTCCATTTCTAATTATTTTTACATTTAACGTCGTGCATGATCGAGTCTTTGAAGGAAATCTTCTATTAGTCGTAAGGATTTGGTGATTATATTATCGCTTTTTTATTGAATTAAAGGTCTTAATCTTTTTTTATTGTCTCACTTATGTAAGTTATTTTGCTACCTTTTTAAACAGAAGATTAGGGACAAGAATTCAACAAAAAAAGAGTTGAAATCTTTAATGCAATTAAAAATTGTGACGTGAATATAACCACCATTGCCGATTTCGTGGAAGAGTTTTAAACAAATTAGAAAAGCTAGCTAAACCCAGTTCATTGATACATGTTATAAGATCCACAAATTTTATCTAGTTATTCGTCAAGACCCACTATTCATGAATACTTGAGAGCTTAGCGTAGCAAGTCGGCTGCCCGATCATTAAGCCAATTGCTCCCTCAACATCTTTTGACCTATAGTAACTTGAGCTCTTATGCTCCTCATCCCCTTCCCTTGGATGGCGACAGAGAAAATATCATTCAACAAGACTTTGATTTTATGGGCGGTCATAATGGATGTTCGGGCTAGTTGGATTTGGATGAAAATGTGACTAGTTCATCTTTTAAAAAGTTAATTTATGTTGCTCCTTGGAGGAAGATTTTGTCGTGGACAGTAAAAGAAAATTCAAACATGAACATCCAATGAGTAGGTCTCGAGTACGACAATTTTAATTTTTTTGTCATTCTCTTTTGATGATTTGAGACATTTTCTTGCGTGTTTCACGTTTACTTCTTGACGATTCTAATAAGACTCAATTAGAATCGAGATTGGATTGAGTTACGAGTGTTTTGTACTTGTTTTATTTTCTGAATGCTGGCTTCACCCCTTCCCTTTGCTTATACCGTTTCAAATACTTTACTATCATACTTTGATTAACAAAAAAAAAAGAATAAATTCGTTAAGGAGTTCCTCTAATTGGTAGGTGAATCTTTGAAAGATTATACAGGTGACTTCATCTTTCTAAAGTGAAGCAATTTCGGAGTCGTGCTCATGTAAGCAAACCTACTCCTTCCACGTTGACGTCTTGGATCTGCCCACTTGTCAAATCCTCCAACAATAGATTGTTGATAACTTTTCACCGTCGATTGTTGGTGACGTGAAATGCGTCTACATTAAGATTATACCCAATAAATTCGTTCACGAGCCTTGTATATTATTGATACATAATAAGAGTGTTTATCCAAGACCCTCGTTTGATCATCTAATGTATGTATATCAAATTCCAACTTATTTAAATATTTAAACGGTTACGAAAGTAATACATTTATTTGCCCAATTTTAGCCGTTGTTCGACCACTCTTTTCTAAAACTCATTTTTTTCATATTTATTTTCAACCGAGTATTTCTTAGAATTCATCATTTTTTTTTTAATCAACTTTACAATAATACATTTCATCAACTTTTATCACCAGAATCTGATTTTTTTTCCTAAACCAAACATGGGCTTAATTAATTTCCAACATTGTCTACCATGCATTTTTTTCCTTTTTGACTTCCCAATTCTTCTTTCAACTTGTTACCCAACTTGTTCTTTTATTGTGAAATCCATGAAACATTAATTATCCCATGAAGAACCGCCACACATATATATATTTCCAGTTGGACATGCATGAAATGGGTGAATCAAGCTAATTTAAGTACAATTTCAAGAAATGTCAAAGGGGGAGAAAGGAAAGGATACGTGTCAAGATCTATTCTGAACCTCATTCGTTTTCAAATTCATTTTCAACCATACATTTTGCGAGACTCAAAATCTCTTACTTTTTTTTATAACACATTTATTAACTTTTATCAAAGTTCACTGAAATCCAATTTTTATCCACGTCAAATAGGGGCTTATCTCTTACACGCGTAATTCAGGTCAAAAAGTTGAGCCAACTCGTCGAGTCATCATGCAACTACGTGTGCTGGAAAACTAGGTGATGAGTTGTTATTTTTCCACTTTTTTTCTCTACTTCACGAGTCCATTTAAGGCCCTTGTACCCCTTTATAATTCAATGCCTTCTCCTTCATATATAAATAAGTTAGCTAAACTTGCAAATTAAAACCAAACATAGACACATATTCATATAATAGTCCATGTCTCCATTCTTCATGGCCATGTTCATTTTCTTCCTCATTTTATCTCCTCCGGTGGTTACCACCAAAGGACCCAAGATTACAGCCATGGTCGCTGTCGCCTCTAGGCTGCTGGCAGGATCAAAACCAGACGATTATACAACGACATTTAAACCGGAAAATACGAAGGGAAGAAATCAAGTTTTCCATGGTAAAGCTGTGGATAACTGTATGCCTAAAGGTAAAAGGCATTCCTCTGCGCCAAGCCATTACATAAATTACCACACTTTTGGTTCAACAGGGCGTGATAAAATCGACACTCCATGAATATATGTGTATTCAGTGTAGATATGGAATTAATGTAAGCTTTAAAATCCTTTTTGTATCATGTATTATAAAGAAGACAAAATATACGAAAGGATATACTCTACACAGTTGTATCAAACATCTTTTTCATTGTAATATTTGATATAGCAGTTATTTTATTTATATTTTCAGAGTTTTGGTGGTATGTTTATTTTAATTTGTACTAGTAGAAATATTCGGTAAAATTATATGAAGAAGAAGTTATTTCTGTGTTCCTCCTAAACTTAGTTTAAGATAAATGAATGACGAACGGGTTGGTTTAATTAAAACTGGATAATTGTAGTGGTAGTCTCAATTTTTTTTCAAAAATGTGCGAGTTTCACCTAAATCTTTGATTTGTAGTAGGGTTTGTCCTAAAACTTTCAAACTGGTGCAACGAAAGGACCTCTGGACGGTTTCTATCCAAAAATCCGTTAGTTGATTAAAAATCAATGTTTGACCATAATTTAACTAATCTTAAAAAGGGCAAAATGATCTTTTAACTTTTTATTAATTAAAAATGGTAATTTGCATCAAAAGATTAAATCTTTCAAAAATATGCAGCTAATGTTTCAAACTTTTAATAAATGTGCATTGAGAGGACCTCTGGCGATTTTCATCCTTTAAATCTATCAGTTGACAAAAATATTCATTTTCGAATTGGAAATAGAGTCGCTTGAGCCTCAGGAGCAACTTGTATGCTAGTGTTGGTCTTGGTTGGTACATCCAAACTTCTCTGATAATAAGTTCGCCCACTAAGTTTCAATGAATAATTCATTCCGTTTAAAATTTTTAAAAAAAATGAGCTTGCGAATTTCAATATTGGTTTACTCAATTTAGTCACCATCTTGTGATTGTATGTTAAGAGATGAATCTCATATCGAATAAAGATGAAAATATATAGACTAATATATGAGAGTTTGAACTACTCATATTAATAAGAATGACTTTTAAAATGGAACATCAAGTCTTAATTGTCCAAAGGGCCCAAACTGTTAACAACATAGTGTTAAATTAAATGATTCAAGAGGTTAGAACTTGGAGATACTATCATTATTTCAAAATATAGCTACACGTCTCATGTTCATTTTTTTCTTAATTTGGTATGGTTTGTACATGCCAAAACGTTTAGTCATTAAGCTTAATAGACAGGGGATATTCAAACAGATTGCAGATATCGTTTCATTTGACAGAAATATGGTCTCCCACTCCTTCAGAGAGGGGGACCAAGTTGCAGATGCACTTGCTACCGAGGGTTGGCATCATCGTAGATACCAGAAATATGGACCAACCGACCACCACGACATATCAAGGCGCTTGTTCAGATTAACGGGTATGGTTTGCTCAGTATTAGAGTTTAGGTTTTTGTATTTCGCTTTTACTTTTAGTTTTGTTTTAACTTGTTTTTTTTGTAAGGGAAGTAGTACTTTCATATTTATTGATTTCATAGATATCATTTGTAACCACGGTATTCCTCCACCACAAGTGATGAGATATTAATAAAATTTCAGAGGTACCGTCCTCCTTCCATAAAAAAAAAAAAAAAAAGGTTTATTTACAAAGTTTATTTTTCATCGAAATGGTAATTATTTAATACTCTTGAAAACTATAAATTTTATATTAGTATTGCTGAACAGTACTCCATCCTTCTAAAAGAAAGACAATTTTATCAATACGAAAAATTCTAGAAGAATATCATATAATTTAATCACTCGTGGAGATGTGTTTTATATATGAATTTTATATCAACAAAATATTTATTCTTGGAGGGACTCATAAATATTTTGGTATTGGTATTGGTATATTTTTCTCTATCTATGTAAATGTTGAGATGTGATGAACTAGTAGTAATTTTTTTTTAGTATTATGGTAAAATGTTGAAGAGGCGTAACACGACTTAAATTCAATTTCTACGTCATAGCTTGTATTATTTTTATTTTTCAACTCAAATAAAGACATTCCATGGAATGTAGACAAGCGTGTCAACTACGGCCAGCTGACTATGAAATGAATGAATTATAAAACTAAACTAAGATTTGTGGCTTACACAGTAGCCAACGGGTTCTCACAAGGGATGGCAACGAGCCAGGAATGAGACATGTCGATCATTCTCACTACCGTTTCGTTAGGTATTTGTGTTACCTTACCTCATCCTCGTATCCGATTAAAGCAAGGGATCATGTTATATGTACCGAATTTTTTTACCAAATCTTTTACCTACAATTCACAATGGAGATGGGGACCACATTGTTGAAATTTTTAAATATACGTGAGCCCCGCATATTATGTGAGAGGGGGTAATTCATTACTTACAAACCATTATGTACAAATGGATTAACTCTAAAGCGGGACGGGACGGGACGAGTTTGGAGCGGGGCCCCTGCCCCATTTATCGCTCCATTTATTTTTTCTTTATTTTTTATTTTTTATTTTATTTTTTTATGTCTTTAATTAGTAAATATTATTAATTTTTTTTACCAATTTGTTAAAAATAATTTATATTCTCCTTAAAAATAATGATAAATTTATTATCTTTGTTCGATAAAAAACTTAAATTTGAAATTAATTTTAAACGAGGTGGGGACTATGTTTGCCGAACCCACCCCATACCCGCTTCAAGATAATGACCCTCGTCCCATCCCCCTTCCGTTTACTTGGTTAGGCAGGTAATCCCCTCCCCATTCGGGGCAGAGCCCCACGAATATCGAGTTGAACGGATTTTTTTGCAATCTCTATCTCTCAAACTCTCATGTTTGGGACCAATGAATATTTTTGTATTTTGTATCAAATACAATTAATGAATTGCAAGTTTCTATACCTCGTCTCTGTAACGTTGGTTCATAAGCGCTCAACATTAAATCTTCCAATGCTACTTAGGAAGCTAGTCTCTTCGAGAAAATTCAAGTTCATCCATATATTTCAAAAGCAGTTCGTAAGCCGTCACTTATTGGAGCGATATTTCAAAGGTAATTTGTAAACCTTCACATCCCATACACTATTTATAAGTATTCATCTATTCATGACAGTTCATATTTCCTCATTGCCTAGTTAACAACTTATATTTTAAGATTCGAATTGCACATATATGTACAATTCAAATTTGAGGGACTATTTTATCTATAGGTGACATGGCATGCAAATGACAAATGGGGTTCCACATTGGCTAGACAATCGATTATGTTACTTGGATTGGGCCAATTAAATTAAACATGGGAAAAATTCACAACTTGGACTTTATCTATCCCAAAATCAAAAATCAAGTTCCAGTGTTTAAAATTGCAAAAATCGGGTTTTTTATGAATTAATTAATTAGATTTCACAATTATTATATTAAATTAAATATTTAACTGTAATATAATATAATTAACACATCCTTCCTCCATCTCCACCACCCCCACTACTCCGGCGACTACTCCGGCGACCACTGTTCTTCAGTCACAGATCAAAAATTTTGTAGGTTACGAATTATTTTGAGGTTACAAATCTAAAATTTTATAGGTCACGGATCAAAAAAAAAAAAGATTGCTCGTTTGTGGTATTTCGTTATTGCAAAAAATTTGAATTATAAAAGTTGAGTTTTGAAAGTACATTTTTCTTCCTTTAAATATCTATCTTAATTTTATTTTCTTTAGTTTGTTTGAAACTCAATAAATCCTCCAAACAAATTAGTATTAAATATTATTTTTATGACACTTACAAAACATTTTAAAATAACGTGTATTGTATGTTCAATTCTGACAAATCCTATAAAATAAGAATGATACTAGGTGTACAACAATTTTTTACAATGTTGGTTGACAATCATATTTGTCAAAATCACATTCATTTATTTCAAACAATATTTTTAAATTAATGGTCCGAATTTTGACAACATTAATGTTGCCATCCATCATTGTCAAGGACAATTGTGCAAGTAAATTAATTCATAAAATAATGTGAACTATAAGCATTAACAAATATGGACACTAATGTAATTAATAAGGTTGGAGACGAAGAAGTGCATACACTAGATGCTCGTCAACGTTTATTATTCCTGGAAGAAAAATAGAAAGAAAAAAAATCTGAAAACGTTACGGCCGGGCCACGGCAAAAAGAAGTCGATCAGTAAGGACGCAGAAGCCACGGCGAAAAGAAGTCGATCCAGTAAGGACGCAGAAACTGCTGGAGTCGACGGCTGACTTGAAAGTCAAAATCAAGATGTCCGAACTATAAGGCATTCCGTTTGCACCATTTGTCAAATTCAAGTGGGCCAATCGCATTATAGTATAAACTCAAACTTCTAGAATACTAGGATTATACATATTTTTATTCTTTCCTTAAACGCTAAAGTATGACAATTAAGTGGATGTAATAAGAACTTTCAGACACAACAACTATTCCCTCGTTTGGCACACATTTTGAAGGTAAGAATGCATTTTTACTGTTGATGTGATGGAGAATATGTGGTTGAAAAAGAAAGAAAAGTTATCTATGTGATGAAAAATATTATTTTATTGAAGAATGTGTGGTTGAAAATGAGTAGAAGAATAAGAATGAGAATGAGAATGAGAATGAGAAAAATAATGTAGACCAAACAGGACCTATATGTTTGATAGTTTAGATTAACCAATATAAGAAAAAATTTAAATTGTTACAAAGAAATTGTAGTTTAAAAGCAAACTAGTCATCGTTTAAAGCTAGAGTTGGTAAAAATTTACTTTGTATTTAAGATTTTATAAAATTATTATGAACAATTTGATCCGATAAAAAACCCGTCTCATTGAACAAGTTACCTTAGAGCAAAATAAGGATGAGGATACTTAAATATTAGGGGTAAAATTGGTAATTCGTCTTTATAATTTATGATAAGTGATCTCATCTTTTTCAATCATTCATTTTCTACGGGTAATTTCTGATCCCAATCTGGACCCGACCCTACCCGAGCGATGCGAGAATTTTCCACTTAAAATGGTAATAGATTTTTTACATGTATACTAAAATTGACATCATGGATGATATTCTTTGATGTCATAGCACTTTGAATTATTAATTTTACAAACATTTATTCAAATCAATTGCGTAGATTTTCACGTCATTGTACACATTATGATTTCCAACAACTCATTCCAATATCAAGGAGAAAAATTGCACGCCATTGTTGATTGTCATTGTCAAGCAATACATTTCAATTTCCTGTCGAAGATTTTTGTTTCTAGCTATCATCAATGAAGCATCATGTAATGGAAAAAAAAAAAAAAAAGTCACAAACTAGTATAGATGCGATTTTATATTTTACATTCACTGTTGTACAGGACAAAACATAGTGTTGATGAATCTTCATCTCTTTTTCACTAACTGCAACGAATATCACAGCCGGGTCAAAGATTAAAAGATATTTATTTACCATTCCATTTAATTCATTATTTATTTTTAGATATTATTTAAATTGAAAAATATAAAAATAAATAAAAGAGATTTGACCCGGTTCGGATAATTTAGGACATGGATCATGTTCCCGTCCCCGCTCATTTACCATTTCGGGCAGAAACTTTCTATCCTTACAGGTTTGGAGGCAGTGTAGAGGTTCGTTTCACTATGATTTTATGTCATTTTTCACTGCTGCAGTAATTATTTACAATATTTTCTTTCTTTTTTGATGGTTATCAAAAAGCCGAAGAAGGGCTCTCTATTTGTAAAACAAATTAGGGAAAAATCGAAATTTACAAGGACTCAAATTCCTTAGACAAATTTTACAGAAACACAAATTCCTAAGGTCGATCCGTTACTAGCTCCACGGAGTAATAATAATTAGGCTCAACAACTTAATATGATGACTGTTGGAAGGAAAAGGGCTTTTTATTTTTTTATTTTTTCTATCTTGCTTTTATTTTTATTTTTTTTGTTTATTAGATGTAAGGGTTGAATCATCAATTTAACTAGGTGTTTAAAGATAAGGGTAAATTGTCCATCGGGAATTAAAATGCTACCAAAGTGAAAGGTTGAAGGTGTAAATGGTACTTTTTAAAGGTTAGGGATAAAAGTGAAATAAGTGTCAGGACCTCCGCTGCTATTTACCCCTTTTTAGAGTATTTGATGAGTATTATTGAAAAAAAGATACATTTTAAATAGTGATATGATGAGAAATATATTATTAAAAAGAAAGAACAAGTCATTAATGTGATAAAAAATATTATTTTATTAAAGAATTAATAAATTTTTAAAGAATTTGTGTCAAATATATTTTTGACTTTTGCTTATTAAAATGAAATCTCAATTATATAATCAATCTCATCATGAGTCTACGTACAGTAAACCTTCTTTTGTCAAATCCAACGACGAAAAAGTAAAATGAAGCCCATTTTTCTCTAACAATTCCCGTCTCTGGCTGTAAACCTTTGTTCTAACCTGACTTCCTTCAACCTCTGTTTACACGGATTCTCCGGTTATTACGTATCAAATTTTGAAATATTATCGATTTCCTTATCTGTTTTCCTTAGAGTTTCCCTCAAAAACTTGAACTTTCATTGTTTTTGAGCCAATTTTGGAAAAATAAATTCAACTCGCTGTGTCAACTCATTGTACAATCACCGGCCATCGAAAAAATCTGCAAATTTTCTGTTTTGTCACCTGGGCCTTGTTCATTCCCTCTAGACCTTCAATTGCATCGTTTTCTTGGAATTCCCGATGTCCGAGAGTCCAAGAGAGGCTGTACTGAGTCAAATAAGTGACTCAGTCAAGGCCATTTACGGATTGCCCGAGTGCAGAACGATTGCAAAGAAGATGTATTGTAATCTGGTGAGAAGGGTGAAGCTTTTAAGCCCTCTGTTTGAGGAATTGAGGGAGGTTGAAGAAGAAGAGTTTGGAAGCGACGTTGTTAAGGGGCTTGACTCGCTGAGAATCGCCCTTGACTCAGCTCTTGAGATGCTAAAATCGATCCATGAAGGCAGTAAGATTTTCCAGGTATATAATTTTGGGAATAAAAATGACCTGTTTGTGTTCTTTTTTTTTTGAGCATCCGTGTTGGTATTTAGGAATTTTCTTTTCATTGAATTCTCATCTTATTTAGGATTGGATGTATAATTAATTTGTTTATTATTACTAGAATATGTAGGTAATGATCATAACAGATGACTGGTTAAGCATTATTACAGGAATGCTTTTCCATCATTGAATTATGATTAGAGGATTGATTTTATGAGAATCAAAAGAGCTCCAGTGTATCTGTGGACTTATTAAATTTGAGTCAATGAGCATTTTGGTATTGTAAATTAAGGTTCCTGCCATAGTTGTTTTCCCAACATGCCCGAATTGTGGAACAAAGAGTATAACACCTGAATTATGATTTCGGATTATGGGAATTTCCTCTGTGTAATATTTGCTATTTTGTACACTTTGAATCATTCTTTACTGCATGCATTATGTTGAATGTTCACTAATCATTCTTGAAGTTTTAGGACACAAAAATTCTACTACTAGTTGTGCCTTTAGAAATATGTGAATTGTGTTGTAGATGCTTTTAACTAATCATTCTTGAAGTTTTAGGACACAAAAATTCTACTACTAGTTGAGCCTTTAGAAATATGTGTATTGTGTTGTAGATGCTTTTACGTCTCGATAGAAGATATCAATGTATGCTTGAATTATTTATTTCATGTCAATTTTAAGACATTAAACTCCATGAAGTTCTAGTTATTAATGGTAGTGAATGCTCTCGCTTTCACCAGACTATATTTTTAAGTATCTACTTTAAACAATCATATAAAAATTTTCATTTATTTATTTTCGTGATAACTAATATCATCTGCTATCACTATGAAACCTTTTATTGGTACTTGTTGTGCTCGAGTTGTTTTATTATAGTGCGCCTTCTATTTTGCAGGTGTTGCAAGTGGACAAAATAGCATGCAAGTTTGATCTTGTTACTGAACAGATAGAAGCAGCATTGAGTCAGATTCCCTATGATAAACTTGATATACCGGAGGATGTTCGAGAACAGGTACTCTGTACTCCTCATTTTTACAGAAGACGAGATGTGTATGGTTATGGGCTACCCTTTCTCCTTTTTCATTATTGACAATGATATCTTCTTTTATCTGATTGTGTTAATCTCAATCTAACCCGATTTCCAGATTGAACTTGTGCATACACAATTCAAAAGAGCAGTAGGTAAAATGGAGTCTCTTGATTTGCAACTGGCAATAGATTTAGCTTCTGCGCAAATGGAAGATGACCCCGACCCAATAATTTATAAAAGGCTTTCTGAGAAACTGCATCTCAGGACTATAAATGATCTGAAGAAAGAGTCACTTGCCATCCACAACATGGTTATCTCATGCAGTGGATTTCCAGCTGGAGTACCAGAGGAGTACTTTGAAACTATGTCGTTTCTCCTTCGAAAGGTAAAGGACTGTGTGACGGAGGAAAATCCTGTCCCTGACACCCTTGAAGCTGACAAGAGTTCAATTAAGCACAGATCTCCAGTTATCCCAGATGACTTCCGCTGTCCAATATCGCTTGAGTTGATGAGAGATCCTGTAATTGTGTCTACTGGACAGGTTGAATTCCGGGTTACATCTATGATGTACTGATTTAGTTGTTTCTTTAATTCAAAAACTTTTGCTCAGTTACTGTTTTCTTTTACAGACATACGAGCGGTCCTCCATTCAAAAATGGTTGGATGCAGGTCACAAGACTTGCCCCAAGACTCAGCAGACGCTATTGCACACAGCCCTAACACCAAATTATGTTTTGAAGAGTCTTATTGCTTTGTGGTGTGAGAGCAATGGTGTTGAGCTGCCTAAAAAACAAGGGAACTGTCGCAATAAAAGAACGGGAATTGGTGGTTCAGACTGTGATCAAGCTGCTATTGATGCCTTGTTGCAGAAACTTGCAAATGGTACTATTGAACAGCAAAGAGCTGCTGCGGGTGAGCTTCGTTTGCTAGCAAAAAGAAATGCAGATAACAGAGTATGTATTGCAGAAGCAGGAGCTATTCCACTGCTAGTCGAACTATTATCCTCTTCCGATCCAAGGACTCAGGAGCATGCCGTCACAGCACTTCTTAACCTCTCTATAAATGAGGCGAACAAGGGAACTATTGTAAATGCCGGCGCAATACCTGATATAGTGGATGTGCTAAAAAATGGCAGCATGGAAGCTAGAGAAAACGCAGCAGCAACCCTTTTTAGCTTGTCCGTTCTAGATGAGAACAAGGTGGCGATAGGAGCAGCTGGAGCCATCCCACCTCTTATTGATTTGCTCTGCCAGGGGACTCCGAGAGGAAAGAAAGATGCGGCCACTGCTATATTTAACCTTTTAATCTATCAAGGAAACAAGGTGAGGGCCGTAAGGGCAAGGATTGTACCACCACTTATGAGATTGCTCAAGGATCCCGGAGGAGGAATGGTGGATGAAGCTCTGGCAATATTGGCTATTCTTGCTAGCCATCCAGAAGGGAAAGTAGCAATTGGGCAAGCTGAGCCAATCACTATTTTGATCGAGGCAATTAAGACTGGTTCGCCACACAACCGGGAAAATGCATCAGCAATATTATGGTCCTTATGCACGGGTGATTCTCAATACTTGAAACTTGCCAGTGAGCTAGGAGCAGAAGAGGCATTGAAGGAATTGTCGGAGAGTGGGACCGACAGGGCCAAAAGAAAAGCCGGAGATGTTTTGAAGCTTCTCCAGCGAGCTGAAGACGTTATTGAATGACATTCTATCCGAACCCTACGAGGAGATAATCGGTTGCCATCAAGTTGATTTCGTACGTGGAACAATATGCAGATTTTTGTATCTGCCGACGGCCTTCATCCATGTAGAGAGGTACTTGTGTAAAAAGCTATAGATACGTGTTTTCCTTTTAATTTTGATTGGTTCAAAGGGGAATATGTGAAGTATTTTTTATCAGGAGGAGGTTTTATTAATATTATTATTACTTGAAAGTGTATTTTAGTGGTTGATTGTTGAGTTATAATATGAAGCGACATTGCTCGCTGTTTGTTCTTGCAAATTCTACGGAACCTCTGCAATTCCTATGAATAAGTTGAATTCACAATATTTAGTTATAATTTTTTTCTTTTGCTTGTAAATTAATTCACGTTCTCGAGAAGTTTAAGTTCTTATTTATTTAACTTTTATTTTCATGACGTCTAGTCACGCGATGGATAGATATATTTTTGTATAAAAGGCAAAACAAATCTACAACATATAATAAAAGGGAAATTATATTTCCATTACATCATTTATAAATATACAACAATTAAAATAAAATTTTAATAAATAGACCACGATAAATTTACGAATATACTCATTAAAAAAAAAAAAAGAGGTGAAGTGCATTGTAGTTCGCATTTCATTACCTTTCATATACATTTAATTGATTGACCTCATGTTTTTTTACTTGATAAAGAATGTACTTATTTTTCTTCTTCTTATTATTAACATCAAATCGTTAATAGGTAAAAATTAAAATAAATAAAAATATAACTCTACTAATCCTGTAATAAATGAATTCAGAAAGGAAAATTTCATTTGTACAGAATTATTCCTTCTATTAAAATGACGGATTGCTCACATGGGTGGGCCCCCATGTAAATAAAATACGGGAACAATATATTTATAAGGTGTTTACTTTACCCCTTTCCAAAAATACCAAAACAAGTTCCAAAATTCACATTTCAGATTTTTTAATTTTTTATTTCTGAATTAATAAATTATTAAATCAATACTTTACCCATTTTCAAAAATACCAAAACAAGTTCCAAAATTCTCAAATCAGATTTTTTAATTTTTTATTTATGAATTAATAAATTATTAAATCAATTTATTATTAAATATTTAATTCTAATATAATATATTTATCCCACCCCACCTCCACCACCCATCTCGGACGACCATTCCGACGACTGCTCCGATTCCCGCGACGATTCCGATGATCATTCCGCTACTCCGGCGACTGCTCCGATTCAGGCAAGTATTCCAACTCCGGCGAAAATTTTTAGGTTACAAATCAAAATTTTCATAGATCACAATTTGTTTATCGGTCATAACTTAAAATTTTAAAAAGTCACAATTTGTTCATCGGTCACAGATCACAAAATTTATAAGTCACAATACTTATTTTACGGTCACAAACAACACATTAATTATATTTAGGTCACAATTTATCAAATTTTGGGTCACAAATTAAAAATTTTTAGGCCACAAAGCACTAATTGGTCGCAATTTATCTAATTCATTGGTCACATATT